TTCCTCTGCTGCAGCCCTTGATGTAGTGTCTGCATGAGTTGCAACAGAGGAAGACCCTCATATTTAAGACTGTGCTGTGCACGTATGTTAGCAGTGTTAAACCATATAGCAAGAAAGAGCAGCATGTTTGCTTTACCGCCATGGTCTTCTCGTACTGCAGATTCCTGGTTTTCTGAATCGCCTTCTTTATCAGTTCTATCTCTGAAGACAACAGAGTCAACACATCACTGACCATCGAAGCTCCACAATGGATTATGTGGCTTAGGAAAGGAAGAAGCACAGACCAAATTCAGACGGCATTAAGGACCTATGTCCACCCAAAGCATCTTCACAAAACCCACCATTTATACTTCTAGGTAAGCCTCCACCTGTCCATGAAATGGAACTCTACAAATGAAATCCACCAATATATAGTACTGTATAATCTCTAGCAAAATTGGGAAGCCAACTCCCTTCTGCTATGTCCAAACTTGCAGCAGTTTTCTCTCATTGTCCAGACAAAGGAATCTCAAGCCCGCAGAGGTTAACATGCTTGCCAATGATGTCCCTATGGACATCACCCAACACTATATATATAAAATATACGTATATATGCTTTAAGAACATTCCTGGTTGAGGCTGGTGTCTCTGGATGTGACCCCTGCAATAGCCAACCCCAAAAAGCACCCAAAGGAGATGTGTTGGTCAGACAAAGGCTGTCAGAGGTTCAGCAGAAGAATTTCAATATATGGGAAGGAACTCAGGAAATCCCAACATCGGCAGGCACTGGGAGCATGCAGGGGGTGGGGACATGTTGGGAGAAACAAGCCAGGAGCAGGATCCATCCCCAAGCATGGTGATGGATCAACAACCTGACCTTCTTCCAATGCAGTTTCTGCTTTTCCTTGAATTCCTCCATTTTCTTTGCTTCTTCCCAAAGGGCTTCTGGCAAGTAGATCTGACTTTCCCCCCCACTACCTCTGCAAGGAAAAGAAAGCTTCATATATATATAGGTACACACAAATATACATATATATATACACGCATATATGCATACATGAAAAGACTGTTGCTCAATTCACCTGCTGCAGCTGACATCAAACCGACCCCACAGTACACCTCCATTTCCAGAAACATAAAAGCAGCAGGAATTTTGATGCACCATTAGCTATGTCAGCATCAGTCCTGCAGGGGGCCACCTTTCAGTGTAAGAAAACTGATATCAAGAAGTTCAGCAAGCAAGCACAGTCATATCTTCCCCTAACCCCGATGAATTCAGCCAGGTTTCAATACACAGCAACATGAAGCAAAGAGCTGCCCCAGCTTAGAACACAGTCAAGCTGGGCCACAGATAAACTGATGCTAAAAGACCCTTGGGCTCATCCTGCTGAAAGTGAGTGGCTGTACTGCAGAACAGCACCCCAGCAAGCTCATCAAGGGCCATATGCAAAGTGTAGCTCACACTTCAAGACCCAGAGCTGTTTCAAACCCACACCTATGAATAGCCAGCTGCTTCAACAGCAGAGCCACGCTGGGGAGGTTCACCAAGAGTCAGAGCAGCAGACAAATGTGGCTGTGGCAGAGAGTGCACTCAGCACAGGAGAGCAGAGCGCCAGCCCTCAGGGTTGGGATGCTGCCTGCCATGTGTACATGGAAATGAAGGGACAATGTAAGGTGGCCAAAGCATCATCTTGCAGATGCTCTGATTAGAAGTGTGGAATCATTTAGGCTGGAAAAGACCTTTAAGATTACTGAGTCCAGCCGTTTACCCTACACTGCCAAATCCCCCGCTAGATCGTGTCCCAAAGTCCCACGTCTGCACATCTTCGAAACACCTCCAGGGAAAAAATAAAACACAAAATAAAACTCGTTCTGGAATCACAGCCATAGTTGACACTTAGATCTGACCCTTGTTTTCCACAACAGTGGTCAATTAATTCACCAATTTATTCTCAAATGGCTTTGACAGCCAGGACTTCACTGCCGTTGCTCTCCAGGGTGCAGTGTACAACGTGGAGGAGGATAGGCTATTAAGAGAAACATTCTTCATTTGAGAATGAAGACCTTGGGCACACCGTAGGAGAGGAACTGGTTCAAGACCATCTTAAAAATCTGAACGTGCACAAGTCCATGGGTCCTGATGAAATCCATCCATGGGTCCTGAAGGAGCTGGCAAATGAAGTTGCTAAGCCGCTGGCCATCATATTTGAAAAATCATGGCAGTCAGGTGAAGTTCCCGACAACTGGAAAAAGGGAAATATAACCCCCATTTTCAAGAAGGGGGAAATGGATGAGCCGGGGAATTACAGACCAGTCAGTCTCACCTCTGTGCCTGGCAAAAACTTGGAGCAGATTCTCCTGGAAGGCATGCTAAGGCACATGAAAATCAACAAGGTGCTTGGTGACAGCCAGCATGGCTTCACTAAGGGGTAATCCTGCCTGACCAATTTGGTCGCCTTCTATGATGGGGCTGCAGAACTGATGGACAGCGGTAGAGCAGTTGATGTCATCTACCTGGACTTGTGTAAAGCGTTCGACACTGTCCCACATGACATTCTTGTCTCTAAATTGGAGAGACATCAGTTTGATGAATGGACTACTCAGAAAAGAAGGAACTGGTGGGATGGCCACACACAAAGAATTGTGGTCAATGACTCAATATCCAGCTGGAGACCAGTAACGACCAGTGTCCCTCAGGGATTGGTGTTGGGACCGGTCTTGTTTAACATCTTCATTGCTGACATGGACAGTGGGATTGAGTGCGCCCTTAGCAAGTTTGCCAATGACACCAAGCTGTGTGGTTCAGTTGATACGCTGGAGGGAAGGAATGCCATCCAGAGGGACCTTGACATGCTTGTGAGGTGGGCTGATGCCAACCTCATGAAGTTTAACCATGCCAAGTGCAAGGTCCTCCACCTGGGTTGCAGCAATTGTGGGCACAGCTACAGCCTGGGCAGAGAAAAGACTCAGAGCAGCCCTGAGGAGAAGGACTTGGGGGTGCTGGTCGATGAAAAAATGAACATGAACCGGCTTCAGTTTGTGATTTCAGCCCAGAAAGCCAACCGTAACCTGGGCTGCATCAAAAGGAGGGTGACCAGCAGGTCAAAGGAGGTGATCCTGCCCTTTTATTCTCCTCTTGTGAAACCTCACTTGGAGTATTGTGTGCAGTTCTGGTGTCCTCAACATAAAAAGGACATGGAATTGTTGGAACAAATCCAGAGGAGGGCCATGAGGATGACCAGGGGACTGGAGCACCTCCCATATGAAGATCGGCTGAGAAAGTTTGGGTTGTTCATACTGGAGAAGAGAAGGCTGCGTGGAGACCTCATAGCAGCCTTCCAGTATCTGAAGGGGGCCTATAGGGATGCTGGGGAGGGACTTTTCATTAGGGACTTTAGTGATAGGACAAGGGGTAATGGGTTCAAACTTAAACAGGGGAAGTTTAGATTGCATATAAGGAGGAAATTCTTTCCTGTTAGAGTGGTGAGGCACTGGAATAGGCTGCCCAGGGAGGTTGTGAATGCTCCATCCCTGGCAGTGTTCAAGGCCAAGTTGTCCGTGGCCTTTGGTGATAAGGTTTAGAGCGAGGTGTCCCTGCCCATGGCAGGGGGGTTGGAACTTGATGATCTTAAGGTCCTTTCCAACCCTAACTATTTTGTGATTCTATGATTTCAGTTTGACGCAGCTGTGAGTCAAGACATTTCAGTTCAGATCATTCCACAACTACTGAAACCCAGGCAGGGACAACCTCCACTAGACCAGGTTGTGCTAAGCCCCGTCCAGCCTGGCCTTGAACAGTGCCAGGGATGGGACATGTGTTTTTAGATAGGCACACACACCCCGATCTAACCGCTTCCAGCAGCAGACAAACAAACACGGACGCAAACACGGCCTGCAGCAGACACCCTCTCTGCCGCTTTAAACCCACTCAGGAATAGCCCCAAACACGAGACAAAGTGCTGCCGAACACACCATGGCATGTAACAACACCGCAGACCCCTCCCCTCCGCTCTAAGCTCACCGGACCCACCACAGCCCAGAGGCGGCAGAGCCAGCCCAGACTAGGACCAGGACCGGCGGAACCTCCCTCGGAGCCAATCCCTGCCTTCCCCCCCGGACCTTGGGACTGCTCTTGGGGCGGGCCTTGTGGGGCCCCCTCACGGCCTCCGCCATGGCCATACTCTGCAGCACCACCAAGCCGCAGCCACGGCTACTGCGGGCGGAAGCGGGGGAAGATTGACACCGCCCCCACCCGCTCCCCTCCAGTCAGCAGCGCGGTGGCTACGTGAAGCACGGAAGGACTCAGCACAGAACGCAGAGCTGGGAGCCGGAGCATGGCCGCCAGGCCTGGGTGAGGCAGGCCTCCTGTCAGGAGGGGAGCGGGCATGGGGTAGGCTCACATATAGGCTCAGATATGGGAAGGCCAGGTTCCCTAGTAAGGATGTGGGGGGAGGTCAGATTGCGCCATAGGTTCCTGTGGGGAGGCCAGGCCCCTCCATAAGTGTTTGAGATGAGGATCGGCACTCCTACAAGGGCCTGTGGGGGAACAGAATCCTTTATAAAGTGCTGTGTGGAGGCCAAGGTCTTCTATAGGAGCCTGAGAAGGAGATAAGTTCTCCTACTGAGAATCAGATGGGAGGCCAGGATCATCTCTAGGAACCGGAGAAGAATCCAAACTTCTCTATAAGGGAGTGGCCAGGCTTCCCCTAAAAGGACTGGCAGGGAGGCAAGGCTCATCTATAAGAGCCTAGGAGGAGGCCAGGTTCCCTTCTACGGACCTGTGGAGGGGCCAGGCTCTCCTATAATGCCCCCGGGTGAAGGGGGGTAGGGAGGGAGTCTCCTCCATAAGAGTCTGGGGCAAGGCCAGGTGTCTGTGGGGAGGTCAAGCTGCTGCTACAGGGAATGCGAGGTAAGAAACCAAGCCCCTACTACGGAGGCTGGGCAGTGTGAGTTCTCTTCTTTCTACTTGTGCAGTAGCAGGACCCGGAATTGCCACCGGAGCGGGGCAGCCTGTGTGCAGTGCCTGAGGCATCTCCAGCCACAGCAGGGCTCCAGTCTCAGCCTGGGGGACCAGGCGTCACTGACCCTTTTGATCCCTACTCAGGTGCTCAGCTGCCCCAGGGAGCCACCGCTGGAGCCCAGGCCATGCCCCACTGGAGCAGAAGTGATTTCAGCCAGTCCCCAGATGGATGAGTCCCTGCAGAGCTCAGTCCCTCCTTGCAGAAGACATTGTAGTCAAAGACCTAATGATCTTGAACAGGTAATGTCCACTCTCTTAGGCCTTGTACTTTGGCCTTGAGAAGACCCTTTGTTATCAACATCATCTGTCATTTATAATACCTGTAGGAAAGGTAAATTGTGTGTGGGTCAAGGCAGAGATGATACTGACCAGGAGCCCATTGCACATTACAGAGCTGGTGATCCCCTGAGCAGGCACGGGGCTGGTCTGCATTGCCCAAGCCCTGTGGCTGCAGGATGAGCTTTGCCACCTCATGGTAACGGGGTTCATGGGCAGCTCCTGCTGATACTGACAATTCCACCAGCTGCCTGGCCCTGCCTGTATCTGGAAACGCAGCAAGAAGTTCTCATGTAAACTTCCTTCATGACTAATGATGTTTTCTTGTGATGCCTTATGTATTAGCTCGTATTACCAAAAAGGAAGAGCTCTAACTCCGCCTGAAGGCAGAATGCCCAGCATCTGAAGGGACATAAGATTTACACGCTACCTGTATCCCTCTTCTTATTTTGTGTTATTAAAGCAGCTGTGGCCTCTCTGTCCCTAGGGGGGGAGGCATGAGCTGTTCAGCTGGTTATCAGGGTCTCTTGATAGGCCCTTCACTTCTATGGGTGTCTGGGAGGAGGACAGACCCCTCTAGAGAGGCCTGTGAGGAAACTCAGCCTGACTGTAGGGGCCCTTGTGGAGGCTGAATTCTTGGTGTGTTCTGTCCCAGAGCTGTCGTGGTATTGATCAAGTAGGAAGTAAAGGCTGAGCAAGGATATGCTCTTGGAGGCTTCCTCCCAGGAGAAGGAACTTGAACATCCTAGGGTGCTTTGAAGGTGTACCAGCCCTAGCCTAGACAAAAAAGTCAGTATGGCATCTTTCAGAAGAATGATAGCCACCATGCAAGTCTCAAAACTTAATCATAAAAGATGTGTGTGAGAACTAAGACTACAGCAGGGTCCTTCAGGAGAATATTTCTACACTTGGTCCTTCAGAAATGTAAATGGACAACCGATTCCTTGGCATGTGCCCTTTGCACAGTCCATTGTAATGCATCAGGAGAGATGTTTAAGCTCACTGTCATCTTCCCCGCAGAAGGAAATACAGGAGAAGCTCCGGGGACTGTTTGGCTTAGACATGCACTGAAGTCATGCAGATTCAACTTGAAGAATATCATACAGCAGCAACTCCCATTGCTCCAAAGTTAAGGTACCTGGCACCAGGTTTAAACAGCTGAACTGTGTGCTGGTCCCCTCTCCTCCATCCCTGTGTTTTAAGGCACTGAGGAGCTTCTTAAGCAATGCTGCACATGAGGATATGAGAGAGACCAGCAGCCATGCAGCACATGAGATTCTGAATAAAAGCCGTGATCACGTATATAGTAAGAAAAAAAAGTAAGAAATTTGGGAGATATGGTCAGAAAATGAGTTTCAGGGCTCCAGCCCAACTTTCATAACTAAGTTTATTTCCGGTGGTGAATAGTCACAAGTCCAAGGGACTTCTTTACCAGAAGTTAATCAAATGAGGGTCTGCAGAGCCTACCGGGCACAAGCTATACCATGAACCTAAAAATCTGCAAGCCCCTCATTGGAGAGGTGGTTGAAGAGCTAACCAACTTCTCCAGATCCTCAGCAACACTGCAGGGTGCAGGTTTGTGGCAGCACAGCCTCTCAGTGGGTAGCTGTGCTCTGGCCCGCTACACCAGGGAAGATGCAAATCAGCTTCCAGTATCAGCACTTAAACCTAAAGCACATCTACAGCTAAGCCAGACACGTAGTGTATTGTTGGTGCACCTCTAAGTGAGCTCCCTGAAAGACGTGGCCAAATGAAACCTACATTACAAGCTTAATCAGCATTAATGAAGGACTTGAGAAACAGGGAAAAGCTTAACCTGAGATCTGAGTGGGATATATATGCCCTAAACATTAGCCAGTTTCCCAAAGCATTGTGCAGCACTCCCCTCAGCACGTATGACTTCTTGGTTATCTCCAGCCTCTTCCAGATGGCTGCACTTTAGAAGAATTTCAAATCAAAACCCTCTTCTGACACAGATGGCCCCTGGGTCAGGGTCCATCGCTTAGATTCCTTTTCTTCCCCCGAGTGTGAACATGGCATATCTGTCCAAGCAGTTTGCTGATCACAGGCACAGATTTGTAATGGGCACTTTCTGAGTGTGCAGATAATTATCTCAGACCTCATATATTTTGCTAAAATAGAGAAGCACTTCAGCTCTGTTTGGCTGCTGTGAGAAATGGTTTGTAGCTAAAAAAGCTCAGGGTAGACACAACAGTGAAGCAGCTCTTTATTAATGGTTTTGCAAAAAACGGGTGTCCTAGCAAGCAGGCACACACAGCAAAAGCAGAACTATGCTTTGTATTTCGTACCCCGTCCACAAGTTCCCTCCCTTGTTTCCCAGTTGGTTGGGTACTCCAAGGTTTACAGCCTATTCAGTGCTTATAACCTGTATGCTAACTGTCCTGCCTTTGTTTTTACCTCCCCTTATTCGTTGTTGTACACCTCTTCCTCTTATTTTCTAACCACATCATTATTAACCACATAATCCTTTTCCGGTTCAATTTTGCAAGTCTTTGGCAGATATGTGGTACCCCAGTTTACTGTTATACCAGGCTGCACCAGCTCAGTTTGTACATAGACAGTATTCTTTTTAACCAAGGAGTATATCTTTCATCTAGAGATTACATTGGCTTTAACCTCAGAGTGTGTCTTTTTTGAGTTGCTAGATCTCAGACCCTTTGTTTTGTTCCCTTAGTAACTTAGCCCCAGCCCCAGTATTGAAAACTCTTAATATTGCAAAGCCTGTCTATTGATCTTGAAGCTCTAATATTGGAAAGCCCTAATATTGCAAAGCCCCATCTCCAGTTATGCGAAAACAACACTCTTTCTCTCACAATTCCCCCTTTCTCTTATTTATACTGGGTTTGGTTTTTGCACTTTCTTTAAAGAATTACCCCATATGTCGCTTTCAGTCTGGATAACGTAACTTCACAGTTTTGGTCTAAAGATAAGTCGTCCCGATCATCTTCAAATATTTGGTTTGTGGTGTTTTGGTTTTTTTTTTTAATCTAAAGCATTTCATCTGAGTAGGGTGGTGGTCCCATGAGCGTTTGTTTTGACAAAGTTGTTTCAAGAAGTTGTACACATCTTCCTATATACAGAATTATGTAGCACCCTATAGCTATTTAGACACCTGCTACTACAGTTATGGAAGTAAAAACTGATATCACCATTGCTCTCCATTTTCCAAATCAGGATTCTAACCATCCTGTAATGAAATACCTGTTCTCATATTTTCATCCAGTTCTTCTGCCAACGTAGTGAGGCCTTGAAAAGCCCTGCTTATGGCTCCATCTGGTGTTGTATTATTTGGAATAAATGTGCAACACGTATTCCCTAGCATTATGCATAGTCCTCCTTTTTTAGCTAATGTATCTAAAACTATTCTATTTTCGCTGTATATTTGACCCATTCTAGCCAGGCATTTAAATTTCTAAATCCTGTTTCTATTTCAAACATCTTACATCAAATCTTTAATTGCAATTACATTAACTGTCTTGGGATTATTTGGTGGAGTCCATGTTCGCCCCGGTGGAGTAATGGTAGTATCCACAGGCTGGCCACATTCGTTCCTCTTTGACTGCCAAGCCACTATTATAAATCTAGCAATTGAATCCCCTCCTATCACATCTGCCCTCAGGCCATGGACTTGGCTTACTGCCCCTCCAGCACTTGCAATATCAGGTGCGTGGGATCACACTCTAACTGCCACATTCAGATTCTATGTGGCCTTTAAACATTGTAATATTCCTTTTTAGAGGTGTTCTCTAAGCACTGGGTGAGATCCACCCATTAAAGCCAGTTGTAAACCAAACTTCATTCCACCCAGGACAAGGTGATTCCCAGTACGTTTGGAGATAACAACACTGTTTCTCTCACAGCTGGGAGTAACTGGAAACACCACCCCTCTGGCCAGATCAACAGTGTCTTCTGCCTGGAGAACCTACAAACAGGATCAACAGCATCTAGGGATGTAGCCGTCAACTGTGGCATAAGCAGGCTTACCTGAAACAGAGTACAAAAAGAATTAGGCCTGCTTATGAGAAGTGCTCATTACAAGATTCTACACAGAACAGAAACACTGGCCACCTGTGTTAAAGGGATGGAAAGCAAAGGTGGATGAGGCTGAAAGAGATGTCTTGATTCTATGATTCTATGATTTGCCGAACAACCAAGGCATTTTACCAAATTCCATCACTAAAGTGCCCAAGGGAATTATATAGCTTCGCTATATAGCTTAAGCTCCACAAATGCCTATATAGAGGGCTTTGATCAGAACTTCTTAGTGAAACCTTGTCTCCAAAGTCAAGAGTCCAGCTTCCCAGGATCTTTTAGGGGGGACCGGACATCACCTAAAGCATTCCCTTTAGAGAGCTAAGGCTCGTGATCTGATGGGGAAGAGCAAAACCAGAGATTTTCTGTGGAGCCAGAACCCCATAAAGCAAGCAATTCTGGTGCACTGGTCAGGGTGGGTAGAGGTGCCCATCTACACATCAGAAAAGACACAGCTGAGGATATGCGTGGCTCTGGGACTCCCAGTGGCCTGGCTCAGTGCTCCCCAACTGCCCTCCCCGACCTGGTACGAAAGCAAGAGGTTAGGCCAGCCTGTGCTTTACAGAGACCTGATACCAAGGCTCGTCATGGGGGGCTGACATGAAGCCAGAGGTCATTGCGGAAATAGTTGATCCATTCACACTCCTGCATCTCAAAGAACTGAAACAACACAGACAAAACAGCCTTAACATCTGTAAGAAGAGAGCAAATCCCACTACAAAGATCTGTGTCCACAGCAAGGAGCAGGTGATGTTGCTCTTCTGCAGGAAATATGGTAACCATGAGTCATAGAATCATAGAACCAACTCGGTTGGAAAAGACCTCGTCCAGAGAAGCCATCCCTTTACACAGCCAGATATTTCAAAGATGAGCATTGAGTTAGGAAGTTCTGCAGGACCCATGTGGAAGGGGTCACTCAGCACACCACTACCTCTGGGGAGATGAAGACAGCTTCCTGAAGGCACTGCATGTTTCCTAGGTACCCCATGGTCCTGCAGTCCCAGCTGACTTCTCTCCCACAACTATGGAGCAATAAAAAAGCATTGGGGATCTATGAAAGCAAAGTGTCTTGACTCGTTTGTCTTCTCTCTCTTTCCTGCCCATCCCTTTTCCAAGCAGCTTTAAGCCCAAGTCTTTTGAAATGTGCTGTCTGGTACATCTCCATTTCATGCCTGAGCGACAGCCTTTCATCCCACGTGTACGTATGCACTTGTTATGACTTGCTGTTTGCAAGCTTGCAGTAGACATGGGATAAAACCTCAACCTCTGCACTTCCTGCCCATAGAATCACAGAATCATAGAATAGTTAGTGTTGGAAAGGACCTTAAAATCATCTAGTTCCAACCCTCCTGCCATGCAGAGGGACACATCGCATTAAACCATGCCACCCAAGACTGCGTCCAACCTGGCCTTGAACGCTGCCAGGGATGGAGAATTCACAACTTCCTTGGGCAACCCATGCCAGGGCCTTACTACCTTCACAGTAAAGAACTTATTCCTCATATCCAACATAAACTTCTCCTGTTTAAGTTTGAAGCCATTACCCCTTGTCCTATCACTACAGTCCCTAACGAAGAGTCCACTCCCCAGCATCCCTGTAGGCGTCTTTCAGGTACTGGAAGCTGCTAGGAAGTCTCCACGAAGCCTTCTCCAGGACGAACAGCCGCAACTTTCTCAGCCTGTCTTCATATGGGAGGTACTCCAGCCCCCTTGTCATCCTCGTGGCCCAGCTTGCCTCCCCAGTGCGCCAGTACCTGCTGCTGCAAATTCATTTAAAGTCTGTCAGAGTTTCAGAGTCTGCTAGGTGGTGTCCTGGCTGTAGGACACACTGGCCTTAAGCCACTGAGTACTGAGAAGTGACTACGGCTGTTCAGGATAATGGCCACACCAAACGCGCAAGCACGTTAATGCGTAATAAGGTCACTACTTTGATTCTGTTACTTTGAAAAGGTAGTGGAAGGAAAAATAAAAGCAAGAAAAATACTGGAATCCTTAAAGTGGTGAGACCTGTTAAAAATACTCTCAAGCCAGATTTGAATATATAAAAAATTTAATAAGCAAGCAGCAAGGAGACAAAACAGCGCTGGGCGCAAGGGACCTTAGTCCGCTCGTTTTGCGCACCGAGTAAAAGAATTCTTCTCCCTTATAATAACACTTGTGCATATTCATGAGGTTACACAACACAACTATACATATTCATGACATTCACAGCTGGTTTGGAGGGTCCAGAGAGCAGGAGCTGAGTTATTGCTCCTTCCTCTTATCAATGGCCTTGGTCCTCCCATCCTTTTCTGGCAAGCATGATAAATGTTGAGCTCAGGCAGTAACATACACAAGCAAGCGGTTTAACTTCGATTCCCCCTCGATTCCCCCGGTATGGCTACCCCCTCCTTCGAGGATGCTTTGATGTGCAAACAAGAACTGGTTCAGCGAGATTCACCACATACTCACTTTGATGAGCAAACACCCATATTACAGACCGTAAATTCAGAAGGCAAGCCAAACACACACACAGGGTTAGCTGCAACATGTTCTGCTGCTTCACTGCCAGAGAACACAGAGAAGGCAGATCTGTGCCATCCTGGAACCCTGCAGTGAGGATTAGACATCCAGAGGACCACACTGCCACATAAAGGCGTTTGGGTGCTTTTACCTCATAAGCTTTGGCATTCTCTTTCTGTCATTCTTCCCGGATGTTCTCCAGTGCAGTAACGCTCTGCTGGTAACTCCTGCCTTTGAGACAAATCACACTGTCATCTGATTAACATTAATTAAAAAGGCCATTTGTTAGAAGGCAGTACATGAAACCTGAATTGGCAGGGTTGTCAGGGAGGAAGCAGTACTGTGTGAGCTCAGCTATGGATGGGCACTTCAAGGGAATGCAGAGCTGTACAGGAAGTTGGAGGGCCATGCCACAGCGAAACGGTGAGAAATGGGAAGTGGGATGTGAAGCCCTGGTATGGCTCTGGAGTGAGCTCCACCTCTGCTATGCTGGGCATGAGTTTCTGAGGAGCCAGCCCTGACCCAGGAGCTGGAGCTCACTCGAGAGCCATGCCATGGCTTCAGAACACCTGCCACAGGAAACACTCCCCTCACCCTCCAAAGCCTGCATTTCCAAACTCACCATAGTCTTCCGGAGATGTTTTCATCTGAGCCAGGTGAACAGCTGCCAAAACTGAGAGAGTGAAGAATGCTACAGGAGAGCTAATGTGCATCACCAACGGTAATGAAGCCCAGCTAGAGAACATTGCTGGCCTTTCCATCTCATCCCCAAACCCGGAACTTGGAAAAGAGTTATGGGCCAGAAGAGCTTCAAGAACATACACCCTTCCTCCTCCTGTCCCATGGCCATTCACCTCTCTATACCTTCTCCTGCTGCTTCTGTGCAACCATGTTTGTGTTGTGCTGCACAGCTGGTTCCACCTCATCCTTATCCCTGCAGTGCTGCTTATAAGGTCACTTGGCCTAGGAGAGCCAACAAACAGGGCAGGAGCGTGTTAGCAAGCAAGGACTTACTATTACAGCTCATGCAGCTAGCTCTGGAGGAAAACAGCCTCCAAGTGAAAAGGTGGCCAGAGACTGCCAGCAGAGCAGGGGACAGCACACAACGCCTCCAGTGCCATGCTGATTGAGCAAAACTGACCTCACAACACAAGGTGCGCTTCATTTGACATGAAAATCCCATAGCAATTGAGTCCTTGACATCTAAATCACTCTTATCCAACCGTGCAAGGCTGCTACCAGCCATGTCCTTGGTGTACTCTTCAGTTTTTCAGAGCACACTATGCAGACAGGAATGTGACGGTCTTCCTCTTCTGCAGCCCTTGATGTAGTGTCTGCATGAGTTGCAGCAGAGGAAGACCCTCATATTTAAGACTGCGCTGTGCACATATGTTAGCAGTGTTAAACCATATGGCAAGAAAGAGCAGCATGTTTGCTTTACCGCCATGGTCTTCTCGTACTGCAGATTCCTGGTTTTCTGAATCGCCTTCTTTATCAGTTCTATCTCTGAAGACAACAGAGTCAACACATCACTGACCATCGAAGCTCCACAATGGATTATGTGGCTTAGGAAAGGAAGAGGCACAGGCCAAATTCATATGGCATTAAGGACCTATGTCCACCCAAAGCATCTTCACAAAACCCACAATTTGTACTTTTAGGTAAGCCTCCACCTGTCCATGAAATGGAAATCAAATGAAATCCACCAATATATAGTACTGTATCATCTCCATAGAATCTAGGGAAATTGGGAAGCCAACTCCCTTCTGTTATGTCCAAACTTGCAGCAGTTTTCTCTCATTTTCCAGACAAAGGAATCTCAAGCCAGAAGAGGTTAACAGGATTGCCAATGATGTCCCTATGGACATCACATAACACTATATATATAAAGTATATGTATATATGCTTTAAGAACATTCCTGGTTGATGCTGGTGTCTCTGGATGTGACCCCTGCAATAGCCAACCCCAAAAAGCACCCAAAGGAGAAGATGTGGTGGTCAGAAGAAGGAAGTCAGAGCTTCAGGAGCAGGGCTTCAACATATAGGAAGGAACTCAGGAAATCCCAGCAGCGGCAGGCACTGGGAGCATGCAGGGGGTGGGGACATGGTGGGAGAAACAAACCAGGAGCCAGGATCCTTCCCCAAGCATGGTGATGGATGAACACCCTGACCTTCTTCCAATACAGTTTCTGCTTTTCCTTGAATTCCTCCATTTTCTTTGCTTCTTCCCAAAGGGCTTCTGGCAAGTAGATCTGACCTTTCCCCCCACTACCTCTGCATGGAAAAGAAAGCCTCATATATATATATAGATACACACAAATACACATATATATATATACACACATACATACATACATGAAAAGACTGTTGCTCAATTCACCTGCTGTAGCTGACATCAAACCGACCCCACAGTACACCTCCATTTCCAGAAACATACAAAACCAGGAATTTTGATGCAGCAGTAGCTATGTTAGCGTCAGTCCTGCAGGGGGGCACCTTTTAGTGTAAGAAAATTGATATCAAGAAGTTCTGCAAGCAAGCAGTCACATTTGTCCCTCACCCGATGAATTCAGCCAGGTTTCGACACACAGCAACATGAAGCAAAGAGTTGCCCCAGCTTAGCACACAGTCAAGCTGGGCCACAGAAGAACTGACGCTAAAAAACCCTTGGGCTCATCCTGCTGAAAGTGAGTGGCTATACTGCAGAACAGCACCCCAGCAAGCTCATCAAGGGCCATATGCAAAGTGTAGCTCACACTTCAAGACCCAGAGCTGTTTCAAACCCACAGCTATCAATAGCCAGCTGCTTCAACAGCAGAGCCACGCTGGGGAGGTTCACCAAGAGTCAGGGCAGCAGACAAATGTGGCTGTGGCAGAGAGTGCACTCAGCACAGGAGAGCAGAGCGCCAGCCCTCAGGGTTGGGATGCTGCCTGCCATGTGTACATGGAAATGAAGGGACAATGTAAGGTGGCCAAAGCATCATCTTGCAGATGCTCTGATTAGAAGTGTGGAATCATTTAGGCTGGAAAAGACTTTTAAGATTACTGAGTCCAGCCGTTTACCCTACACTGCCAAATCCACCGCTAGAATGTGTCCCAAAGTACCACATCTGCAGATCTTCGAAACACCTCCAGGGGAAAAATAAAACACAAAATAAAACTCGCTCTGGAATCACAGCCATAGTTGACACTTAGATCTGACCCTTGTTTTCCACAACAGTGGTCAATTAATTCACCAATTTATTCTCAAATGGCTTTGACAGCCAGGACTTCACTGCAGTTGCTCTCCAGGGTGCAGTGTACAACGTGGAGGAGGGTAGGTTAATAAGAGAAACATTCTTCATTTGAGAATGAAGACCTTGGGCCCACCGTAGGAGAGGAACTGGTTTAAGACCATCTTAAAAATCTGAACGTGCACAAGTCCATGGGTCCTGATGAAATCCATCCATGGGTCCTGAAGGAGCTGGCGAATGAAGTTGCTAAGCTGCTGGCCATCATATTTGAAAAATCACGGCAGTCAGGTGAAGTTCCCGATGACTGGAAAAAGGGGAATATAACCCCCATTTTCAAGAAGGGGGAAATGGATGACAGGGGAATTACAGACCAGTCAGTCTCACCTCTGTGCCTGGCAAAATCTTGGAGCAGATTCTCCTGGAAGGCATGCTAAGGCACATGAAAATCAACAAGGTGCTTGGTGACAGCCAGCATGGCTTCACTAAGGGGAAATCCTGCCTGACCAATTTGGTGGCCTTCTATGATGGGGCTGCAGAACTGATGGACAGCGGTAAAGCAGTTGATGTCATCTACCTGGACTTGTGTAAAGCGTTCGACACTGTCCCACACAACATCCTTGTCTCTAAATTGGAGAGACATCAATTTGATGAATGGACTACTCGGTGGATAAAGAACTGGTGGGATGGCCACACACAAAGAGTTGTGGTCAATGACTCAATATGCACCTGAAGACCAGTAACGAACAGTGATTGGTGTTGGGACCGGTCTTGTTTAACATCTTTGTCGCTGGCATGGACAGTGGGATTGAGTGCGCCCTCAGCAAGTTTGCCAATGACACCAAGCTGTGTGGTTCAGTTGATACGCTGGAGGGAAGGAATGCCTTCCAGAGGGACCTTGACACGCTTCTGATGTGGGCTTATGCCAACCTCATGAAGTTTAACTATGCCAAGTGCAAGGTCCTACACCTGGGTTGGAGCAATCTCAGGCACAGCTACAGGCTGGGCAGAGAAGAGATTCAGAGCAGCCAAGGAGAAGGACTTGGGGGTGCTGGTCGATGAAAAAATGAACATGAGCCAGCAGTGTGCACTTGCAGCCCAGAAAGCCAACCGTATCCTGGGCTGCATCAAAAGGAGTGCGACCAGCAGGTTGAAGGAGGTGATCCTGCCCTTTTATTCTGCTCTCGTGAGACCTCACTTGGAGTATTGTGTGCAGTTCTGGTGTCCTCAACATAAAAAGGACATGGAACTGTTGGAACAATTCCAGAGGAGGGCCACGAGGATGATCAGGGGACTGGAACACCTCCCATATGAATATAGGCTGAGAAAATTGGAGTTGTTCATACTGGAGAAGAGAAGGATGCATGCAGACCTCATGACAGCCTTCCAGTATCTGAAGGGGGCCTATAGGGATGCTGGGGAGGGACTCTTCCTTAGGGATTGTAGTGATAGGACAAGGGGTAATGGGTTCAAACTTAAACAGGGGAAGTTTAGATTGGATACAAGGAGGAAATTCTTTCCTGTTAAGGTGGTGAGGCAATGGAATAGGTTGCCCAGGGTGGTTGTGAATGCTCCATCACTGGCAGTGTTCAAGGCCAGGTTGGCCGTGGCCTTTGGTGATACTGTTTAGAGCAAGGTGCCCCTGCCCATGGCAGGGGGTTTGGAACTTGATGATCTTAAGGTCCTTTCCAACCCTAACTATTTTGTGATTCTATGATTTCAGTTTGACGCAGCTGTGAGCCAAGACATTTCAGTTCAGATCGTTCCACAACTACTGAAACCCAGGCAGGGACAACCTCCACTAGACCAGGTTGTGCTAAGCCCCGTCCAGCCTGGCCTTGAACAGTGCCAGGGATGGGACATGTGTTTTTAGATAGGCACACACCCCCGATCTAACCGCTTCCAGCAGCAGACAAACAAACACGGACGCAAACACGGCCTGCAGCGGACACCCTCTCTGCCGCTTTAAACCCACTCAGGAATAGCCCCAAACACGAGACAAAGTGCTGACGAACACACCATGGCATGTAACAACACCGCAGACCCCTCCCCTCCGCTCTAAGCTCGCCGGACCCACCACAGCCGACAGGCGGCGGAGCCAGCCCGGACCAGGACCGGCGGAACCTCACCCTGAGCCAATCCCCGCCTTCCCCCCCGGACCTTGGGACTGCTCTTGGGGCGGGCCTTGTGGGGCCCCCTCACGGCCTCCGCCATGGCCATACTCTGCAGCACCACCAAGCCGCAGCCACGGCTACTGCGGGCGGAAGCGGGGGAAGATTGACACCGCCCCCACCCGCTCCCCTCCAGTCAGCAGCGCGGTGGCTACGTGAAGCACGGAAGGACTCAGCACAGAACGCAGAGCTGGGAGCCGGAGCATGGCCGCCAGGCCTGGGTGAGGCAGGCCTCCTGTCAGGAGGGGAGCGGGCATGGGGTAGGCTCACATATAGGCTCAGATATGGGAAGGCCAGGTTCCTTTGTAAGGGTGTGGGTGGAGGTCGGATTATGCCATAGGATCCTGTGGGGAGGCCAGACCCCTCCATAAGTGTTTGAGATGAGGATCGGAAGAGAATACTTCATAAAGTGCTGTGTGGAGGCCAAGGTCTTCTATAGGAGCCTGGGAAGGAGATAAGTTCTCCTACTGAGAGTCAGATGGAAGGCGAGGATCATCTCTAGGAACCGGAGAAGAATCCAAACTTCTCTATAAGGGCGTGGGCAGGCTTCCCCTAAAAGGACTGGCAGGGAGGCAAGGCTCATCTATAGGAGCCTAGGAGGAGGCCAAGTTCCGTTTTATGGACCTGTGGAGGGGCCAGGCTCTCCTGTAATGCCCCCCGGGTGAAGGCGGGGTGCGGAAGCTGTCTCCTCCATAAGAGTCTGGGGCAAGGCCAGGTGTCTGTGGGGAGGTCAAGCTGCTGCTACAGGGAATGCGAGGTAAGAAACCAAGCCCCTACTACTGAGGCTGGGCAGTGTGAGTTCTCTTCTTTCTACTTGTGCCGTAGCAGGACCCGGAAGTGCCACCGGAGCGGGGCAGCCTGTGCGCAGTGCCTGAGGCATCTCCAGCCACAGCAGGGCTCCAGTCTGAGCCTGGGGGACCAGGCATCACTGACCCTTTTGATCCCTACTCAGGTGCTCAGCTGCCCCAGGGAGCCACCGCTGGAGCCCAGGCCATGCCCCACTGGAGCAGAACTGATTTCAGCCAGTCCCCAGATGGATGAGTCCCTGCAGAGCTCAGTCCCTCCTCGCAGAAGACATTGTAGTCAAAGACCTAATGATCTTGAACAGGTAATGTCCACTCTCTTAGGCCTTGTACTTCGGCCTTGAGAAGACCCTTTATTATCAACATCATCTGCCATTTAGAATACCTGTGGGAAAGGTAAATTGTGCGTGGGTCAAGGCAGAGATGATCCTGACCAGGAGCCCATTACACATTACAGAGCTGGTGATCCCCTGAGCAGGCACAGGGCTGGTCTGCATTGCCCAAGCCCTGTGGCTGCAGGATGAGCTTTGCCACCTCATGGTAACGGGGTTCATGGGCAGCTCCTGCCTGATACTGACACACCAGCTGCCTGGCCCTGCCTGTATCTGGAAACACAGGAAGAAGTTATCATGTAATCTTCCTTCGTGACTAATGCTACTTTCTTGTGATGCTTTATATATTAGCTCGTATTACCAAAAAGGAAGAGCTCTAACTCCACCTGAAGGCAGGATGCCCAGTGTCTGAAGGGACATAAGATTTACATGCTACCTGTATCCCTACACTTATTTTGTCTTATTAAAGCAGCTGTGGCCTCTCTGTCCCTAGGGAGGGAGGTGGGATCTGTGCAGCTGGTTATCAGGGTCTCTTGATAGGCCCTTCACTTCTATGGGTGTCTGGGAGGAGGACAGACCCCTCTAGAGAGGCCTGTGAGGAAACTCAGCCTGACCATAGGGGCCCCTGTGGAGGCTGAAGTCTTGGTGTGTTCTGTCCCAGAGCTGTTGTGGTATTGATCAAGTAGGAAGTAAAGGCTGAGCAAGGATATGCTCCTGTAGGCTTCCTCCCAGGAGAAGGAACCTGAACATCCTAGGGTCCTTTAAGGTGTACCAGCCCCAGCCTAGACAAAAATGTCAGTATGGCATCTTTCAGAAGAATGATAGCCACCACGCAAGTCTCAAACCTTAATCATAAAAGATGTGTGTGAGAACTAAGACTACAGCAGGGTCCTTCAGGAGAAAATTTCTACACTTGGTCTTTCAGAAATGAAAATGGACAACCAATTCCTTGGCATGTGCCCTTTACACAGTCCATTGTAATGCATCAGGAGAGATGTTTAAGCTCACTGCCATGTTCTCCTCAGAAGGAAATACAGGAGAAGCTCCGGGGACTGTTTGGCTTAGACATGCACTGAAGTCACGCAGATTCAACTTGAAGAATATCATACATCAGCAACTCCAGTTGCTCCAAAGTTAAGGTACCTGGCACCAGGTTTAAACAGCTGAACTGTGTGCTGGTCCCCTTCTCCTCCATCCCTGTGTTGTAAGGCACTGAGGAGCTTCTTAAGCAGTGCTGCACATGAGGATATGAGAGTAGACCAGCAGCCCTGCAGCACATGAGTTTCTGAATCAAAGCTGTGATCACGTATATGATAACAAAAAAAGTAAGAAATTTGGGGGATATGGTCAGAAAATGAGTTTCAGGGCTCCAGGCCAACTTTCATAACTAAGTTTATTTCCAGTGGTGCATAGGCACAACAAGTCCAAGGGACTTCTTTAGCAGAAGTTAATCAAATAAGGGTCTGCAGAGCCTACCGGGCAGAAGCTATACCGTGAACCTGAAAATCTGCAAGCCCCTCATTGGAGAGGTGGTTGAAGAGCTAACCAACTTCTCCAGATCCTCAGCAACACTGCAGGGTGCAGGTTTGTGGCAGCACAGCCTCTCAGTGGGTAGCTGTGCTGTGGCCTGCTACACCAGGGAAGATGCAAATCAGCTTCCAGTATCAGCACTTAAACCTAAAGCACATCTACAGCTAAGCCAGACACGTAGTGTATTGTTGGTGCCCCTCTAAGTGAGTTCCCTGAGAGACGTGGCCAAAATGAAACCTACATTACAAGCTTAATCATCATTAATGAAGGACTTGAGAAACAGGGAAAAGCTTAACCTGAGATCTGAGTGGGATATATATGCCCTAAACATTAGCCAGTTTCCCAAAGCATTGTGCAGCACTCCCCTCAGCACATGTGACTTCTTAGCATTGTGCAGCATTCCCCTCAGCACATGTGACTTCTTAGCTATCCCCAGCCTCTTTCAGATGGCTGCACTTTAGAAGAATTTCAAATAAAAAACTTCTTCTGACACAGATGGCCCCTGCGTCTTGGTCCATTGCTTAGATTCCTTTTCTTCCTCTGAGTGTGAACATGCCATATCTGTCCAAGCAGTTTGCTGATGTCAGGCACATATCTGTAATGGGAACTTTCTGAGTGTGCAGATAATTATCTCAGACCTCAAATACTTTGCTGAAACAGAGAAGCACTTCAGCTCTGTGCTGCTGCTGTGAGAAATGGTCTCTTGGTATAAACTTAAGCTCAGGGTAAACACAACAGTGAAGCAGCTCTTTATTAATGGTTTTGCAAAAAACGGGTGTCCTAGCAAGCACAGCACACACAGCAAAAGCAGAACTATGATTTGTATTTCCTATCCCGTTTACAAGTTCCCTCCCTTGTTTCCCGGTTGGCTGGGTACTCCAAGGTTTACAGCCTATTCAGTGCTTATAACCTATGTGCTAACTGTCCCACCTCTGTTTATAACTCCTCGTACTCGATGTTCTATGCCCCTTCCTCTTATTTTCTAACCACATCATTATTAACCACATAATCCTTTTCCGGTTCAATTTTGGAAGTCTTTGGCAGATATGTGGCACTCCAGTTTACTGTTTAACCAACCTGCACCAGCTTAGTTTGTACATAGACAGTATTCTTTTTAACCAAGGAGTGTAACTTTCATCTAGAGATGACATTGGCTTTAACCCCAGAGTGCGTCTTTTTTGAATTACTAGATCTCAAACCTATTGTTTCGTTCCCTTAGTACCTTAGCCCCAGTATTGAAAACTCTTAATGTTACAAAGTCTTAATATTGACCTTGAAGCTCTAATATTGGAAAGCCTTAATATTGCAAAGCCCCATCTCCTCTTATGTGAAAAGCACACCGTTTCTCTCATAATTCCCCTTTTCTCTTATTTATACTGGGTTTGGTTTTTGCACTTTCTTTAAAGAATTACCCCATACGTCGCTTTCAGTCTGGATAACGTAACTTCACAGTTTTGGTCTAAAGATTAGTTGTCCCGATAATCTCCAAATTTTTTTTATTTGTTTTTTAATAATATAAAGCATTTCATCAAAGCAAGGTGGTGGTCCCATATTTTCAGCCAATTTTTCTGCCAACGTAGTGAGGCCTTGAAAGGCCATGGATATGGCTCCATCTGGTGTTGTATTATTTGGAATAAATATGCAACACCTGTTCCCTAGCATTATGCATACTCCCTCTTTTTTCAGCTAATATATCTAAAATTATTCTATTTTCACTGTATATTTGACCCATTCTACCCAGGAATTTGTATTTCTGTATCCTGTTTCTATTCCAAACATCTACTTCAAAACTTTAATTGCAATTACTTTTACTATCTTGGGATTATTTGTTGGAGCACCATGTCCCCACCGATGGAGAAACGGTAGTGACCACAGGCTGGCCACATTCATTCCTCCTTGGCTCCCAAGCCACTATTGTAAATCTAGCAATTGAATCCCCTCCTGTCACATCTGACCCCAGGCCATGAACTTGGCTTACTGCCCCTCCAGCACTTGCAATAGCAAGTGCATTGGACCATGATCTTAACACCCCACATTCAGATTCAAAGTGACCTTTAAACTTCGTAATTTTACATTTTAGTGTTTTTCTCTAAGCACTGGGTGAGATCCACCCATTAATGCCAGTTGTAAACCAAACATCACTCCACCCAGGACAAGGTGATTCCCAGTACGTTTGGAGATAACAACACTGTTTCTCTCACAGATGGGAGTAACTGGAAACACCACCCCTCTGGCCAGACCAACAGTGTCTTCTGCCTGGAGAACCTACAAACAGGATCAACAGCATCTAGGAATGTAGCCGTCAACTGTGGCGTAAGCAGGCTCACCTGAAACAGAGAGTACAAAAAGAATTAGGTCTGCTTATGAGAAGTGCTCATTACGAGATTCTACACAGAACAGAAACACTGGCCACCTGTGTTAAAGGGGTGGAAGGCAATGGTGGATGAGGCTGAAAGAGATGTCTTGATTCTATGATTTGCCGAACAACCAAGGCAGTTTACCAAATTCCATCACTAAAGTGCCAAAGTTAATTATATAGCTTCGCTATATAGCTTAAGCTCCACAAATGCCTACATAGAGGGCATTGATCAGAACATCTCCTTAGTGAAACCTTGTCTCCAAAGTCAAGAGTCCAGCTTCCCTGGATCTTTCAGGGGGGACCGGACTTCACCTAAAGCATTCCCTTTAGAGAGCTAAGGCTCGTGATCTGATGGGGAAGAGCAAAACCAGAGATTTTCTGTGGAGCCAGAAACCCCATAAAGCAAGTAATTCTGGTGAACTTGTCAGGGTGGGTAGAGGTGCCCTCCTGTTCAGTAGAAAAGACAGAGCTGAGAATCTGCGTGGCTCTGGGACTCCCAGTGCCCGGGCTCAGTGCTCCCCAAGTGCCCTCCAAGCGCTGGTAGGAAGGCAAGAGGTTAGGCCAGCCTGGGCTTTACAGAGACCTGATACCAAGGCTCGTCATGGTGGGCTGACATGAAGCCAGAGGGCATTGCGGATATAGTTGATCCGCTCACACTCCTGTGTCCTGAAGAACTGAAAGAACACAGACGAAAAAGCCCTAGCATCTGTTAAGAAGAGAGCAAATCCCACTACAAAGATCTGTGTCCACAGCAAGGAGCAGGTGATGTTGGGATTCTGCAGGAAACATGGTAACCATGAGTCATAGAATCATAGAACCAACTAGGTTGGAAAACACCTCATCCACAGAAGTCATCCCTTTACACAGCCAGATATTTCAAAGATGAGCATTGAGTTGAGGAAGCTCTGCAGGACCCATGCGGAAGGGGTCACTCAGCACACCACTACCTCTGGAGAGATGAAGACAGCTTCCTGAAGGCACTGCATGTTTCCTAGGTACCCCATGGTCCTGCAGTCCCAGCTGACTTCTCTCCCACAACTATGGAGCAATAAAAAAGCATTGGGGATCTATGAAAGCAAAGTGTCTTGACTCGTTTGTCTTCTCTCCCTTTCCTGCCCATCCCTTTTCCAAGCAGCTTTAAGCCCAAGTCTTTTGAAATGTGCTGTCTGGTACAGCTACATTTCATACCTGAGTGACAGCCTTTCATCCCACGTGTACGTATGCACTTGTTATGACTTGCTGTTTGCAAGCTTGCAGCAGACATGGGATAAAACCTCAACCTCTGCACTTCCTACCCATAGAATCACAGAATCATAGAATAGTTAGGGTTGGGAAGGACCTTAAAATCATTTAGTTCCAAACCTCCTATCATGGGCAGGGCCGCCTCGCACTAAACCATGCCACCCAAGACGGCATCCAACCTGGCCTTGAACGCTGCCAGGGATGGAGAATTCACAACTTCCTTGGGCAACCTATTCCGGGGCCTCACCACCTTCACAGTAAAGGACTTCTATCTTACATCTAATGTGAACTTCCCCTGTTTAAGTTTGAAGCCATTACCCCTTGTGCTATCACTACAGTCCCTAACGAAGAGTCCACTCCCCAGCATCCCTGTAGGTGTCTTTCAGGTACTGGAAGCTGCTAGGAGGTCTCTACAAAGCCTTCTCCAGGACAAACAGCCACAACTTTCTCAGCCTGTCTTCATATGGGAGGTACTCCAGCCCCCTTGTCATCCTCGTTGCCTTCCTCTGGACTAGCCCCAACAGCTCCATGTCGTTTTCATATTGAGGACATCAGAACTGTACACAATACTACAATTGAGGTCTCAAGAGAGCAGAGCAGAGGAGCCGCATCACCTCATTAAACACTTTTTA